TTATATTTAGTATATCTCTTATTGTCTCTTGTTTTCTTTTTTTCCAGTATTGACAATTCGCTATTAAACTTTTTTTTCAGCCACCTACTACTACCTTCCTTTTTTTGTTATTCTGCTGTGCTTCTTTATATCATTCCCATATTGCTTCCTAATCAATTTGCTGTCTAGTTATGTCATTTTGTATTTGCTTATTTCTTTTAAGTTTTATCCATGCTACCAATTTTCCATATTCTTTTCCACCCATCATTTTGCATTCTCTTACTCCATGTTATTCTCTTGTTTTTACTGGTAATCTCTTTTTCATTTTCCATCTCTACCCTTTTTTGTTGCTTTTTTGTTTTCTTATTTACCTCTTTAAATGTTTGATCTTGATTACACTCATTTATCTATTCTGCTTTTAGGTTCACATTTTCTTTTTCCTTTACTGCCACTTCTAAACTTGCTAGTACTGCTTCTTTTTTGTTTTGTCTTTGTAGTTCTCTTTTGATTCTTTCACTTTCATTTATATACTGTTCTATCAATTTTAGATCTGTTATTATTTTGATTTCTCCTTCTTCTTTGATTTCACTTATGCTTGCTATTATTGTTTCCAATTCTGCCTGTGTTGCACTTTGTGTTATGTTCTCCCATATCCACTTTTTATTTCTTTACCATTTTTCATATACTTCCATACCCCTGTTTCTATCTTTATCTTTTTGTTCCATGCTGCATCTGCATATATTTTCTTGTCAGAAATCTTCTTTATTCTTTTCCTTTTCTTTTAGTTTTTGTATATTGCTCTCGTTCTCAAATCTTCCTATGGTTCTTGTGTTCTCTTCTTAATATGTAAAGTCTTACTATTCTTCTTCACCTTGACTTTCTTCACTGCTGGCCACCATGTTTCTGTTATTTTCTTGTTAAATTAATACCCCTTCTCTTTGTTGAATTCGTTTAGGTCACATCCTTTGCACTCTTTTAATTCTTGAGTCTCCTTGTGTTCTTCATAATACAATATTCTTGCTAGCTCAATATCGATTTTTCTCTTTTTTCTCCCTACTATTACTTCCTCTCCTTGTCCAAATGTAATCCATCTTATCCTCTTCATATCTGCTGTTTTGTTTACCCTAGGCATTGTTATATGCATCTATTGGCTTTTTTGATTTATTTTTTTTGTTATTTTGTTACGTATCCTACTCCAGTTTTCATTTATTATATTGTACTATTTGGGTTTCTTTCTTTTATTGCTATGTCCCAGATTAATTCTTTTCCAATTTATTAGCTCTATATTGTTATCCTTTACTATTTGCTCCAAGTACATCACTTTTCATTTTCTCATGTTCCTCTTTTGTTGTTTGTAGGTTTATTAATCCAGCATCTCCTCTATTATTATTGCTCCTCCCTTTCCTTTTGTTATTTTTTTCCATCTCTTTGTTTCTATTTTAAAACCTCACTTCTGCTTTCATATATCATGTCTGTGATTATACTTCTTTTTCTTTCCTTAAGCAGTTCTTTGCTATTTTGTATTACTTTTTTCGTTGACCATGCTTCCTCTTGCAGTTGTACAAGTCTAATTTCTTCTATGCTCCCAAGTATCCCTTTATCTTCTAGAATTGTTTCCAAACAACTTAATCTTATTAGAGCTAGTCTTTCTTTAATATCCTTAATGTTACTCAATGTTTTGCTTCTCAATGCACTGCTTGGAAAACTGCTCACAAAATTGTTTTTTTGTTTGTATACTCTATCTATACTTCTCTGCCATTTTGCTATTATGCTTTTCTTAATATGTATGTCTGTTGCTAGGTATTATATTGCCAGAAGAATAACTTCATTTATTAAGTATTTGACTATCTCCACTGATATCTTTCTCCTCCTTATTGTATTGAGATTGTGTATCACTATTTGAATTATTTTCTTTAATTGTATAGCTTTTCTGGGCTTTTTTGTATCCAAGATTCCAGAAATCTTTCAGCTTTGGTTTCTTCACTTGCTGAGACTTCCTTGCCCATTAATTTTATGTTTTTGTTTCTTTTCTTTTTGTTCAGTACTATTAGCTTGGATTTTTTTATATTGACTTCTATATCATTTATATAATAGAACTTTTCTACTAGCTTCAGTATACTTTCTATTTCTTTTTTCCTTTTTGTTATTCATGTCATGTTATCTATATAGACTATGCTTCCCATCATAACTTTTTTTTTTATTGTCTCTCCTGTGGCAAAGTTTTTAATCCATTTGCTGTTTATTTTGTATCCCTGCTTTGTTTTGTTTATTTTGTTAATCAGTAGATCATAGAATATTTTCCATAGCAAGGGTGATATAGGGTCTTCTTGGTCCAAACCATTCTTGATTTTATATTTTTGTGTTGTTTTATACTTTGTAATTATGTCTGCCATTTTGTTTGTTTGCATTTCCAAGATTATTTTTATCAGTTTCTGTAGAATGCCTATTCTTTCTAGAATTATTTCTAAAGCTCTTTTTCCTATTGAATTGAATGCTTTCTTTGTGTCTTGTAATAGGATACACATCTCCTTTTTGTTTGTTTGTGCATCGTTTATTATGTTTTATAGTATTATTCTTGACTTACTTGTTATTCCACCTGATGTTCCTGCCCAATTGTTCTCTTGTAGGATTTTCTTTATCGTTAACACTTCATCTATTCTTTTCATGATTATTTTGGAAAAGATTTTTCTTTCTGTTTCTATTAGTGCTATTGGTCTTAGTTTGTTTATTTGCCTTTGCCAATCCTCTATTTTTGGAATTGGGTAGATTCGTGAATGTTTCTACTCTTTTGGTGTTTCCCTTTTTTCTAAGATACTGTTAAGCAAATCTTTCGGTTTGTTTTGCTCTTTTTTCCATAGTTCTTTAACATTTAATATGATATTTCTGATGCTTATAATACTTTTCCATTTGCTGCTTCTCTTATTGCCTTCTCCAGTTCTTCTTTTGATATCGGTTTCATCAGTTTTGCCTTCTCTCTATCTCCTAATTTAAATATTGGATTTTTATATTCCTCTAGACAATTTCTCTAGTAGTCCTCTAAATTCCACTTTCTGGTTCTATTTTGTTGGTCGAAGTGCTCACATGTTGGTTTCTTAACTTTTTCTTCTTCTAGTTCTATATGTCCTGTGATTTTATTCCATACCCTATCAATTTGCTCCTTTGCTGTGTCATATGCCAAGATGCTTGAGATTAGGTTCTTCCATTTTTTATTTTCTTGCTATTTCTCTGCTTTTCTCTTTATTGCTTCTAGAATTCATTGCTTTCTGAGGGATCTGGCTTTACTCTCATACAATTTCCTCAGGTCTCTTCGCTTTTGTTCTGTCTCTATTATTCATTTATTAACTTTTTCCATTGCACTCAAGTATCTTAAGTTTACTTTTGTTTCTAGCAATGCTCTAATATATCTGTTAATTCTGACTTTTTTTTTCATTATTTTTTCTTTGTTTCTGATATTACCCTTTTCTTTCATTTCTCTTGCAATCCTTATGGCCTTGTTTAGTTTCCTAAAAGCTATAAATTGTGTTGTTTTTATCTTTTACTGAACTCTTGCACCTCTGTTTTGAGGGTTTTTTTTGGGATGCATTTCTCTGCTACTTCCTTTCAACATTCTTTTAGTTCTTCCTATCTGTTACTTAGTTCTTCTATTTTCCTTTGCCCTTTGTTATTTTCTAATTGCTCTTTATTTTTGTATGCTGCTCTTACATGTTTGATTTCTTTCCTTCATTTTCCTATTTCCATTCATTTATCTGTTTATAATTATAAACTTTCTTTTCACTTGTTGTTCTGAATCTTTTGATCCCTTTTGTGATTGTATACAAGTCTATCTCTATGTTCACTGCCTTGTAATCTGTATTCAAACATTGTTTGATATCTAATATAGATGAGGCCTTACATAGTTTTCTTATGTCTTTCGAAAGCCATATCATATCTATTCTGCTTTTTGATTCTTTGCCCCATGTGTAATCACTTGTATTCTTGTTATGTTGTCTGAAAGTGTTATATAGATCAAATTCCTTGAGCATTTCAATTCATTTCTTCTTTTCCTTTGGTTCATTCTCCTCTGTTCTATCCATGTTGTCCTTTGTTGTTGTATTCATATCTCCCATTACTATTATTTCTATTACTTGTTTTTTCCTCCATTCTGTCATGATTTTTCTCATTTCTGCTATCATTCTTTTTCTCTCCTGACCTAATTGTGATGGTACATATATCTGTATCACTCCTATTTTTTGTCTCTCTTTGAAGATCAGTTCTATGGCCAAAATTTTTCCTTACTATCTTGTTATTTTCCTTATATATTTGATCCAATCTCTTTGAACAATTAACTCCACTCCTCCAGATTGTTTTTCCATGTTTGCCCAATAAGTCTTGTATTTTTTGTCGCCCATTTCCTATTACCATATACCACTGCATACAATACCCCATGTATTAATTAATTTACTCCCTAATAAATTGATTAATATCCAGGGGTATTTTACTAGGAGAGGGGTAGTATTAGTGGCAGGATATATCATTATTATAAAATTCAAAATAATATTGTCTTACTTATTATTATATTAATATACCTGGGTAGTAATCAATTATCATGCAACAATTTTCTTGAATACTACCTGGTATTATTCATGGGGGGTAGTATTTGAAGAAGAATATTGTATGCAGTGACATATAGTAGTTGCTTTTTTAAATTTTGTATTAGATATTTCTATTATATTTATATTGTTTTTGTGATAGTAATGTTGTAGTTGCTGTTTCTTAAACTCTTCATTTAAGCCATTTATGTTTATTGTCATAATTTTAATGTTCTCTGTATCAGTCCTTTTTTCTTTATACATGTTGATATTTCTTGGGTTATTATATTTATTCTTATAGTGTGCTGTCATACTTGTTTGAATTTGTTATTAGGTATTATGTTTTCTATTGCCTTTCATATTGTTGTCTCTTTTGCTAGGTAATAGCTGACCATTTTTCAAAAGTTTGCTTAGTATCTTTTCTATCTGTTTCATTTGCCTTTCTAGCTTGTCTTATCTTTCTGCTGCCTTCTTGTTAATTGCCTTGTATGTTGCCAGAGGGGTTTCTTTCTTATCCATGACCACTTCTTCTGCATCTTGATATTGCGTTTGTTGCTCTTCTGAACTCTTATTATTGGTCTGTTGATTCTTTAGCTCTTCTTGTGGCTCATTCCACCAATTCCATAGTATATTAATTTTTGTTTTCATGGTTTTAATTATTTCTTCTAACTTGTTCAGTCTTTCTCTTATCTTTTCTTGTTCTCCTCTTTTCTCTTTGTTGTAAACTGATCTTGATCTGTTTTTTTTTCTCAGAATTTTTGTATAGGATATAGAGGCTTCCTTTTCTGGATTGATGCAAATCTTGCTTGAGCTAGTGCTTTGTCTCTTTGTACTTTTATCTTCTCACACTGAAAGGTGATGTGCCCACTCTGTCCACACTTGTAACACAGTTTTTTAAATTGATCTTCAAAATTGATCATTGTCCTATCTAATTTAAAGATTTGGATTTTGGCTGCTATTAGTTGGTCCTCTGTTTCAAATGTCACATATGCAAATCTTTTTCTAAAGTATCTACCTGTTTTTGGAATATATAGGGTTTTTTCGTTTGTTTCTTTTGCTATCTCTTTTAAATCATAAGCTGTGATGCCTGCTGACAAACCTGCCAATTTCAGCACATATTTTGATTTTCTTTCCAGTTTCTCTTTCTCTTCCCATTTTGGGAGAATTCTCAGGTATTCTTTTTCAAAAGGATTGACCACATTTTAGCTAATAGTTGAGCATTCTTCTCTTCCTTATAAGTTATTATTGCTGTCTGCCACATTTCTATTGGCTGGATATCCATGGTATGGATGTCTCCAAATTTTTTCAAAGTTGCACTAATTGCTTCTTTACTTGCTAAGAGTGGGATATTCCTAATAATTATTCTATTTTTTTCTTCTGATTAATATTGTTTCTGTTTTGTAGGAACTAGGTACTTCCTGCTATTATCCATACCAAAGTTAATTTCACATGCCTCTTGCATATCAATGAGGTTTCCAAAATTAGTAATAATCTTTTTTTTTCCTGTAGTTCCTCTTCTTACTCTTACCTCCAAGAAAGATTCAAAAGCAATACATGCTTCTTCCATAGTATCTGCTCTTTCTGCTGATTCCCTATCTACCAGTAATTCTAGTTCACATGTATATCTTGGTTTCTTTATTACTTCTTTTGATCTGCCTTCCTTTCTTTGGTCTTTTTTTGCCTTTCCTTTATACTCTTACATTTCTTTTCCTCTGATGTCTGTTCCTATTATTACTGTTTCCTTCTCATTTGATTTCAACTATTCCTCTTCTTGCATTTTTGTGTCTTGCTCTTGCTCTTCTATCTCCTCCCTTCCACTTACTTTTACTTCTCTTTCTCCATATTCATGCTTGCTGCTCGCACTTGCATTCTCTTCAATTTCCTTTTGTCCAGGCTTTTGAGTCTGTCTGGTTCTTTTTTCATAAAGGTAATTGCTTTGACTCTGACTTTTTTAATAACGGTTATTGTTTTTTTTTCTGTGCCTCTTTTCTTCTTGCACTTGATGTTGATGCTTAACTGACGCCTATTTTTTCTTCACTTTTCTTACAGATTTTTTCTAAAATTTCCTAAAAAGACAAATTTTTTTTTGGTTTTCCTGTGTGTGGAAAAGAAAGAGAATCCAATATATATTTTAATAGTAATAAAATATATTTACATTTATATATTATAATTAAATAATATTTAATTTAAAATATTTAATTGGCTTATAAAATTATTATTATTATTTTAATGCTCATTTGCGATAAAAAAAAATTATTATTATTATTATTATTATTTTGATAGCTAAAGTGTAATCAAAGTATATTTTTTTATTAATAAGTTATTATATATATTCAATGATAAAAATTGCTATCTAAAGACCTATGGATCTATAGTATAGTAGTAATGCTCCATAGGTCATCAGGAGAAGGTCTAGGGTTCAAACCCACTTGGTTACAAAAATTTATCACCTTCATAATTGGTTGACCAGCTTCCAATACATGTTATATCCAATCAGCTGAAAATCATCTATCAAATCAAGCTAGGCTGTATGAAGATAGGACCTCTGGTCTTTTTGACAATTACGGGCTGAAAACAAATTAAAGCAGAAAAAGTTGCACGAGACAAGGCTTCTGGTCTAACTCCAGTATAAAAAGCCCACAATCCTAACTGGAACAGCAGACTCCATATCACCATCCTTTCTATTCAGGTTGGTTAGCTTCCTGATATAGGTCGTACTCAATCAGCTAGTACCTCAAAACTGGATTGGCAGACTTCGAAATTCGATTGAACCTCCACCTTCCTATTTGATGTTGGTGCAATCCAGATTAGTGACCCAATGTTTGGAAAGAGTCAGGTCACAAGCCAAAAAGGAGATCGCTAGGAAGGTTTTTTACTGTTGGTATAGGATTTTCCTTACCTTATATTTACAAGTAGGGAGTCATAAGTATAAACCAAGATATGGATCCACCTACTTGATGTTAAGGATGGGTCCCTAAATTATTTAGCATATAAAATTTCGCAGATTAATTATGTCCCTTTTGAAGGGACATAATTATTTAT